GCTGCGATTGAATCCGTGGTGATTGACTTTTGTTACTGTATTGGGGTCTGTACCATGAAACAGCTGCTTCTCGTTGTTTGTGCTTTTGTTTTTTGCGTCAATATTGTTCTTCCGTATCTGGTAATTCTGCCAGAGATGTTTGTTCTGGACTCTCTCAATCTACAATAACAGGCAAGAGAGAAGAATTTAAAGCAATACCATACTGGGATTAAATTAACCATAACCACTGTCTCTATTGCTGGGAATAGAAAACATTAATAGTATAATCTGAACAGTTTCCGTTTCAGTAAAACTAATTATATAAAAAGTCGAGCAATGAACATTAAGGTGAGAGTTCCCACACCAACAAAATAAATTATACAAATACTCAGGCAGCCAGTAGATGGTGCCACACGGTCATCAGATCAAATAATGCTCGGAAAAAAGAAAATGTACAACTAGTGCAGATCTTTTAACAGATTCAATAATAAATACATTTAAGTTTGCTGAAATGACTTGTGATAGTCAAAAAACGCAAATCGCCGTACTTATGCCCTCCCCCGAGAGGATTAGAAAAAAATTGTCAATGTATCTATTTAGCACCAGGTTTGTATCCCAGCCATTGCCTGAACCCATATGTTGGGTTTCTCAATGTGCCAGAAATAGGTTGGCAGAGCTGAGAGCGAACCTGGTGCTCATTGCAGGACCACATTTTTGCAAGTACAAATCATTCTGGAACCAAAAATAATTATTTTCCAAACTCAAATTCTATAGAATCCAAAATGAATTGGATTTGCTTACACGGAATGGATGCAGTAGTCTCTAGAAAGTGTTCTGTTGCTCCTAAATCATTTCTCATATTAGTATATAGAGCGGAAACATCCGTTTTAACCAAGAGAACAATTTTCTTTACGTTGGACATTGCTCCTGGAGTACATTGGTTGTGTCCCTTAAATAAGAAGGACATTTCTTTACTAGAGGTCGGAGTAAATGGTCTACATTCTCAGATAACCTGCAAGACACAGAGTTAACGCCCAAAATAATGGGTCTACCTGGGGGTTGGGTCCTGTCATTGTTCATTTTTGGGAGAAAGTAGAAAATTGGGATTTTCTCGTATTCTTTTCTTTCAAACTTACATAGTTACATAGCTGAAAACAGACTTGCTTCCATCAAGTTCAGCCTATCTCACATTTGTTTTTTGCTGTTGGTCCAAAAGAAGGCAAAAAAAGCTAGGAAAAAAATTCCTTCTTGACCCCAGAATGGCAGTCAGATTTATCCTTGGATCAAGCAGTTATTACCCTACATTGAAAGATTATATCCTTGAATATTCTGTTTTTGCAAGTATGCATCTAGTAGCTGTTTGAACATCTGTATGGACTCTGATAAAACCACTTCTTCAGGCAGAGAATTCCACATCCTGATTGTTCTTACAGTAAAAAAACATTTCCTTTGCCTTAGACGAAATCTTCTTTCTTCCAGTCTAAACGCATGGCCTCGTGTCCTATGTAAAGTCCGGCTTGTGAATAGATTTCCACACAATGGTTTGTATTGGCCCCGAATATATTTGGATAATGTTATCATATCCCCTCTCAGGCGACGTTTTTCTAAACTAAATAGGTTTAAATTTGTTAACCTTTCTTCATAGCCGATATGTTCCATTCCTTTTATTAATTTTTGTAGCCCGCCTCTGCACTTTTTCTAGTGCCATAATATCCTTCTTTAGAACAGGTGCCCAAAATTGCACAGCATATTCAATATGGGGTCTTACCAGTGATTTATAAAGAGGTAAAATTATATTCTTGTCCCGAGAATGAATGCCCTTTTTCATGCATGACAATACCTTACTGGCCTTGGCCACTGCTGATTGACATTGCACATTGTTGCATAGTTTCTTGTCTATAACAATTCCCAAGTCCTTTTCATGTGTTGTTATCCCTAATTTGCTTCCATTAAGGGTATACGTTGCTTGTGTATTCTTTACGCCGAAGTGCATAACTTTGCATTTTTCAACATTAAATCATCTGCCATTTGAGTGCCCAGTCCCCCAGTCTATCTAAATCCCTCTGCAGCAAAGTAATATCTTGCTCACATTGTATTATTTTACAAAGTTTTGTGTAATGAGCAAACACTGAAACATGACTTTCAATGCTGTCTTCAAGATCATTTATAAACATGTTAAATAGAAGGGGTCCCTGAACAGACCCCTGAGGGACACCACTTGCCACCTCTGTCCAGCTTGAAAATTTACCCTTAATGACAACTCTTTGTACTCGGTTTTTAAGCCAATGTTCTACCCAAGAACAAGCATTTTCATCTAGACCGATTTCCTTGAGTTTGAACACTAATCTATTGTGTGGAACTGTATCAAATGCCTTGGCAAAATCCAAATAGATCACATCCACGGCAACACCCTAATCTATACTTCTACTTACTTCTTCGTAGAACGCAATCAAGTTAGTTTGACATGACCTGTGCTTCATAAAACCGTGCTGATTTTTGCTGATAACCATGTTCTTCTCAAGGAATTCTTGAATATTATCCCTTAATAACCTTTCAAATATTTTACCAGCCACAGAAGTTAAGCTCACAGGTCTATAATTTCCAGGCAAGGATTTTGAACCCTTTTTGAATATAGAAACTTAGGACTCCCTCTTGGAATAATTTTCAATCAAGGATTGCCTTAATTGCCTCCAGTGGAACCGTGTTCCGCAGGCAAGATCTAAAGGTATTTGAGCAGGCACTTAAAGCCAAAGCTGCATCCCCTCAGGTGGTTGCTGCTTCTTGCCTCCACTGCCTTCTCGAAGAATGACAACCTGCAAAATGTTCCAACACTCCGGATCCTGATACCTATACAGATCTGGATTCCCTGTCTGAGCCTGAAATGGATCCTCTAGTTGAAGCCCTGTCTGTGGGGGGGCTGTCACAGTGCACCCCGAACCCTGCAGACATCAAGGCGTGGCCACCCCTTTAAGAGACCTGGCTGGATTTGAATTCACAGCTCCAGCATTCCAGTCAGGTCCTCTGCTGTGATATCCACCAGGGGGCTTCAGTATCTATCTTCAATATTCTGCTTCATGACCCCTTGCCTGGATGGAGCAGTGCTGATCCACCTGCAACCCCTTACCAATTAGGGTCAGCTGCTCCTAATCATCAAGCTGTAAAAGCCAGCCCTGCCTGAGACCTAGGATCTGGTCATTTGGTCTGTTTGGTGTTTCCTGTCGGATCTTTGTTACTCTGCTGACTGATTTCATTGACTCTGACCTCTGCCTGCTTTACTGACTATGATACTCCGCTGCCAGCCCTGACTTCTGCTTCTCGTCTGACTCTGCCTTTGGATTTCCCCTTTATCTGTCCTGTGTTTTTGGTTTATGCTTACTCCTTGTGCCATCTCCTGCAACTGGGCTCAAACTACTGCTAAACTGTTGCACAAGGATAATTTCACATATGTTATGTTATCTACAAGGTGTCTTTAATAACCATATTACTTTGCCTCACGGTTTTATCACTGTATTAGCATTCTGTGTAAGTTTTTTTTTTTATGGGCCCTGTGCTCCTGTGGAGTTAAATTGGATTGAAACTCAGTGGTTTTAGTTTGTCTATATCAGAGGTAACCATATTTTGAACTGTTGAGATTTCCATCGACATCAACCACTTAGAAAAAAGGAAGTTTTCTAATTCAGAGAGGTGTGTACTGTGGCGGATTGCCTGGCACCCCGACTGGCTATCTCCACCAATCGCTGCTTCCTAGTGCTCACCGAGTACTCCAAGCACTCAACCAGACACCATCAGCACTGTAGACCCTTAGCCGCCATAGCTTGGCCGGGGTCTCGCCGTCCCTTCCTGGGTCCAGCTACCAGTGGGAAGACCTGCTTCTGGGGATGAACTGGAACTGGTTTAATGGGAGCCATATGCAGCCTTTAATGCAACTCCCCATGCAAGGGGTTTCCTTAATCACATTCCAGGGGCATACCCCGCAGGACCTGAGAGGAGTCTAGTTACAAGCAAACATTCTACACACACAAGTCCAGCAGTGTTCGGGAGTTTCTGTGTCTGACTTTTAGTTCCATGAGATTCATGCCCAAACACCGTTGCCTCGTGGTCATTCATACGAAAAGCGGCGACCCAGATGAACACTGCGGTGGAAATTGCTACAAAGTATTAATTGGGCTTAACAAGCTCCCAGGTGGTTTCTGGTTCGTGCGGCTGTTCGGTTCCCGAAGCATACAATCCCAATTGCACGAACAGAGCCTTTTTAAGTATATTAGTATCTATTGCAGGGGCCATAGTCCTGAGGCAGGAGGCTGGCAAGCAGGCTTCTCCAGGAGCCCGTGGTGAGATTATGTTCACCACATGTACCATCTCTATATGATTCAAGTCCTTTTGAGCATTGTTAGACGGTATGACAACATTTTTCATAAAATATTATTTCAAACACAAATTCCTAGTAAATCTATTTAAATCAATATATAGTTACATAGTTACATAGCTGAAAAGAGACTTGCGTCCATCAAGTTCAGCCTACCTCACATTTGTTTTTTGCTGTTGATCCAAAAGAAGGCAAAAAAACCCAGTTTGAAGCACAATTTTGCAACAAGCTAGGAAAAAAATTCCTTCTTGACCCCAGAATGGCAGTCAGATTTATCCTTGGATCAAGCAGTTATTACCCTACATTGAAAGATTATATCTTTGAATATTCTGTTCTTGCAAGTATGCATCTAGTAGCCGTTTGAACATCTGTATGGACTCTGATAAAACCACTTCTTCAGGCAGAGAATTCCACATCCTGATTGTTCTTACAGTAAAAAAACCTTTCCTTTGCCTTAGACGAAATCTTCTTTCTTCCAGTCTAAACGCATGGCCTCGTGTCCTATGTAAAGTCCGGTTTGTGAATAGATTTCTACACAATGGTTTGTATTGGCCCCGAATATATTTGTATAATGTTATCATATCCCCTCTCAGGCGACGTTTTTCTAAACTAAATAGGTTTAAATTTGTTAACCTTTCTTCATAGCTGATATGTTCCATTCCTTTTATTAATTTTGTAGCCCGCCTCTGCACTTTTTCTAGTGCCATAATATCCTTCTTTAGAACAGGTGCCCAAAATTGCACAGCATATTCAATATGTGGTCTTACCAGTGATTTATAAAGAGGCTGTAGCGGAACGCCAATATTAAATCCACGAATTCCGCTGGTTCAGGAAGTAATCCACAGTCAAGCGCTGAAACAACAAGGCAATATCCCCAACCTCCCAGTAACCGGACGAGACACAGTTCTGAGAGTCAACTGAAGTCCTTTAATTCTGCTGCACAATTTATACAAGTCCCCATGCAAGGGGTTTCCTGAGTCCCCTCCCAGGGGCATTCCTAGAGGGGACTAAATGGGGAACTTACAGTACAACATATTTCTCCCATCAGGCACTGCTGCACGAGAGGGATCCTCCTCCTAGAATATGCCGTTAAGTGGATTATCCCCTCGTGCAGCAGAACTGACAATTTATACAAAAATCCATAACTTTGTGAATATACTGTTGATTTGCACGAATGGACGTTCGGTAGATAGCTGGGGTCTGAGCGCCTCATTCGTGAGATTACCGCTCAGATCCCAGCTAAAATAACCGAACGCCGCACGAAAAACACATTTATTGAAAACCGATTGCCTTCCAGGGAATGAAATACCGAATGGCCTGGAACTCCCGAACGTCCTGGAGGCTCAGCGGTGTTCGTGCCGTCGAGTAGCCGTTTTTAGTACCATGCGCTCGACGACCTAGCACCGCTGAGGGAACAAAGGATCCAAGATGGCCGACCGCCGCATGGTCGGTAGTCGAACGACGGCCACCCAGGAGAGCCTCTAATTACCGATTGCAACATTGTTGCAATTGGTTAACCAGCGCCACACGCCTCTAAGTGTGTGGGCTATTAGGGGTAGTGTTTTCGATTCATGAACGGCCCTCCAAAGTGCCGTTCTTGAAACGAAAGGAAAACCCCTAACAAACAGCTATCTGCATTCGGCGGATAGCAATTACAGGCAATTCAATACATTACAGTCAGCATACAATATACGTAGTTAAACACATATCTCCCCAGACATACAGGCAACCCTTAAAGGTACAGTCTCTGGTTATAGTCCAAGTGGCTAGGTTTGCCACAGAGGCAAAATGATATTCTCGTCCCGAGAATGAATGCCCTTTTTCATGCATGACAATACCTTACTGGCCTTGGCCACTGCTGATTGACATTGCACATTGTTGCATAGTTTGTTGTCTATAACAATTCCCAAGTCCTTTTCGTGTGTTGTTATCCCTAATTCGCTTCCATTAAGGGTATACGTTGCTTGTGTATTCTTTACGCCGAAGTGCATAACTTTGCATTCATCTGCCATCATACTGACCCTTAGAAGGTGCAAGCTTTAAAACTTTATTCAGCAAAGAGATGTCATCTTTTCCTAACTTTTAGATAAATTAAAGAAATTCCAGTGGGTGCGATTTCTTTATTGATATCTATTCTGCTCCTTTTTGCTCTATTGCCTCCTATAATGCTTCCCCCTCTTTTCTCCTTTAATTATTCTTTTTTATTAGCTGTAGCTTTTGAGATAGATTTATTGCGCTCTAATCATAGTGAAAAGCAATATTACTACAACAACCTGACATTTTCTTGACATAAATTAAAGTTGTTTTCACTCGTAAATAGAATTTTTTTTTTTTTTTAAAACATACAAACTGAAAGCATTATCTAAAAGAGCGGTTTGTCGTATGTACTACTTTTCTAGGGGATTTTTAGTCACTGTCCAACGACAGTCAGCAAGCATAGAAGCGTTCCACCTTCCCTAATATCTTCGTTCCTTTGCTGAAATGTCTTGTAACCGGTCACCGTGCCCATTACTCACTGCACAGCAGTTGTCATGGAAGAAGTCCAGATAAGAGTTGAGTAAGTTGTTTTTTGAGTGACATGTTGTAGCCCAGTTGCTGCTACTTTTCGAGAAGGTTGTGTGACAGAACACCTCGTCACTTATTAAACTTTTCATTCGGTTATAACCCTGGTTGTTCAGTTACCGAATAAAGAGCGTTTTCCCCTTTTATACCTCACGAACCCAGACCACCCCCTGGCTCATTAACTTAATTGAACCCACTCATTATTGTTATATAACCCATTAACTTAAGTGCTCGTCTGGGTGGCCACCATTCGGATGAATGAACGCACGTTGACTGGCGGCCATTTTGTATCACCAATGCAGGCAGCGGTACTCAGACGTTGAAAGCATGGAACTGAAATCGGACAGCTACCTCAGGAACACCGCCTGCTCCTTCCCCAAATAGGCCAGGGGAGCACTTTTCGGGACAAGAACTTATGTGAATGTGGCAAAACCAGCCTCGCCACTGTCCACTGTTGCTCGCCTGCTCCCTTTGGACTATGGCCCGGCAGTTAAAACCTTTTATTTTCCTGCAGAAAAGCGTATTCGTGCCTTTCTGCTAGGATGTGCAGTAGAACAATCGACCACCTGGGAACTGGAGTGTGCCGTCAATTGACCGCCCAGAAGCTGCAGTTAACCCGCAGCTTAAGTGACGAATGCTGGGTGGCCTTTGTTCGTTTGCCGAACACGTGGCAGCAGCCATTTTAACTCCCGAACGGCCAGCGGTGTTCAGCGCCCAAACTATGGAGCTGAAAACGGACACTTATTTGCGCGAACACCGCTGAGCCGTCAGCCTCCTTATCTCTGCATTCAGTAGTGGAACCGAATCACTGTTCATTCGGTAGTTTGACCGTATGAACAGCATCACCCCAAATAGCCATGCCATGGAGCCTATTCGTGTAACGAAAGACTATGGGAAAGACTTTGGCTCCATGGAGATTGAACTGTATGTATGTGATCTGAGCGCGAATTCCCAATTATCTCCAGGACAGAGAGGAGGGATTGTGATGCATTGTGGGATTGTAAGCTTGTGATTGGTTAATACATATTACATAAGAGAATATGAAAAACGAAGTTTATAAATAGAATTCTAAAACTTAGTTTGCTTGGTCATGTGACCGGCATATTGCCGCATGGGGGTATGGGAACGGTAGTTTAGACGCCGGCGCGCACTAGCAGTACTAGCAGCGGCATTTTTAACCTTTCACAGAAAATTGTAACTAGCGCACAAATAGCAGTTTTAACCAAAGGTCTTAAATTTGCCCCTTCTAATACTTTTAAATCTTTTGAAGCTTTTATAGATGTTAATAAATTTGTGACCGAGCAAACTAAGTTTTAGAATTTTATTTACAAACTTTGTTTTTCATATTCTAGAACACACTCTCCTGCTATAATCGCTGAAGAAGGCACTGACTGAGATCCTTGGAAAGGACGTTCTTGGTGGCGAGACCTGTGTCCCTACTCGAGTGGCCGCCACAGGTTGTTTGTCAGCTCTTCAGCTGCTCAACACATTTAAAAGCTTCTCAAACATCGAGGACTAACCCAAGGTTTTCATCCATAAGATGTTCTTGATGAAATTGGCTTCTGGAGGGTGACCTCACAGGCAGATTGACCCCATGTGGCACTGGTCAGATAACTGGCGAGATAATGGGGTATTCCACACTAGTCTTTTTTTCTTGACATATTTAATAGGAGGTACCTGTCAGGATCGTGACAGGGATCCAACACGCAGAATACAAACAGGGGATAGGTACGTATACCGGACCTTAGAATGGCCGGACTAACGTAAGGAGAAAGCAAAAGAATAGTCAGAGACAAGCCGAGGTCGAGGGAACTAGAGAGCAGGTAAGCGAGAGACAAGCCGAGTCAAAAGGACAAGAGAGGAAAGCAGGGTCAAAATACGAGCCGAGTCAGGAACCAAAAGATAATAGAGGTAATTGCACTGAGTGACCAGACTAGCTAGAACCACGACAGGGCAATGAATCATTCCACAGAACCCTTTTTTATACCTTGGCTCTTTAACTGTTGGCTCCGCCCCCAACGGGTCCTGATTGGTTGTTCGGCACTTGGTTGCCGTGATTGACGGGTCGGAACGTGATTGCCGTCATGCCGTCGGCTACTGAGCGCCGCGTCATAAAAGGAGGCGGAGCTATCGCGGCCGGCGTGTAAACGACCGGGAGGAGTGCAAGGATCGGGTGAGTCAGCCCCCCTGGGAGGATGGACGTCTAGGTGTCTAACCTCCTCCGAGGTAGACACCAAAGGTACCCTGACAGTACCCCCCCTCTCAGAAACGCCCACCGGGCGGAAGGAACCGGGGCGGGACGGAAAACGAGCATGAAATGCCCGGAGGAGACGAGGGGCATGCACATTTTCATGGACCACCCAAGACCTTTCTTCAGGCCCATACCCCTTCCAGTCAACCAGATATTGCAACTTCCCCCGAGAAATACGAGAATCGAGAATGGATTTGATTTCATATTCCTCCTGACCCTCAACCTGGACAGCGAGAGGGGAGGACTCAGGGGAGGAAAATCTGTTGCAAACCAAAGGCTTCAATAAAGAAACATGAAAAGAGTTAGGGATGCGCAGGGCAGGCGGAAGGGCAAGACGATATGCAACCGGGTTAATCCGACACAGAACCTTGTAAGGGCCTATGTAACGAGGAGCAAATTTCATGGAAGGAACCTTCAAGCGGATGTTTCTGGTACTCAACCACACCCTATCACCCGGGGCAAAAACCGGAGCCACCCGTCTCCGTTTGTCAGCGTGTCGTTTGAACACCATGGAATTATGAAGAAGAATTCGTCGAGTCTGATCCCACAACTTTCTCAGATTGGCGACATGAACATCAACCGACGGAACCCCTTGGGAAGGGGAAACCGACGGAAGAATGGAAGGATGAAAGCCATAATTCAAGAAAAAGGGGCTAGAACGAGTAGAATCACAAACGAGATTGTTGTGTGCAAACTCTGCCCAAGGAATCAGACCAACCCAATCGTCCTGGTGTTCAGAAACAAAACAACGCAAATATTGTTCAATCTTTTGGTTGGTGCGTTCGGCAGCTCCGTTGGACTGGGGATGATAGGCAGAGGAGAAGTTCAACTTGATGCCTAAGTGAGAACAGAAAGACTTCCAAAAGCGGGAAACAAATTGGGAACCTCTATCAGAAACAATTTCAGAGGGAATACCATGTAGACGAAAAATCTCCCTCGCGAATATCTCAGCTAATTCGGGAGACGAGGGCAGTTTAGGCAAGGGCACGAAATGAGCCATTTTAGTAAACCTGTCAATCACTGTGAGAATAACAGTATGTTTTTTAGAAACAGGCAAATCGACAATGAAATCCATAGCCAAACACGACCATGGTCTCTCGGGAATTTCTAAGGGATGCAAAAGTCCACAAGGGAGCGCGTGAGGTTGCTTAGTCTTCATACAGACAGCACATGCCCTGACGAAATCCCTTATATCCTTACGAAGGGAAGGCCACCAGAAATCTTTAGAAATCAGGGAACACGTTTTGCGTATGCCGGGGTGCCCAGCAATTTTACTGTCATGAAAGCAATGCAGCAGTTCCACTTGGAGCTCAGGAGGAACGAAGTATCGATCCCCAGGAACAGGTTTGGGAGCTAGATGTTGTACTTTCTTGATCTCAGCAAGCAACGGCGAGTGTATCCTGACACAAGTGTTGGCAATAATATTACACTTAGGAACGATAGAAGACAAAGCTGCTTCAGACACCGTAGAGGGTTCATGTTGACGGGACAATGCATCTGCCTTAGAGTTCTTAGAACCAGGTCTATAAGTGAGCACGTAATTGAAATGTGTCAGAAACAAGGACCAACGAGCTTGCCTGGCGGACAAGCGCTTGGACTCCCCTATGTAGGACAAATTCTTGTGATCAGTCAAAATAGTAACCGGGTATAATGTCCCCTCCAACAAATGTCTCCATTCCTTTAAAGCCATAATGACCGCTAACAGTTCCCTATCACCAATGTCATATCTACTTTCAGGCCCAGATAATTTCTTGGAAAAAAAACCACAAGGATGTAACGGTTTATCCAAGCCTAGCCTTTGGGACAAGATAGCACCTATACCTGTCTCCGAGGCGTCAACCTCGAGTAAAAAAGGCAAAGATGTGTCAGGATGAACTAATATCGGTGCTGAGGCAAAATGTTCCTTGAGAGTTTTGAAAGCAGAGAGAGCCTCTGTGGACCAAGTCTTGGTATCAGCCCCTGTCTAGTCATATTAGTAATAGGAGCAATAATAGAAGAGTAACCTTTAATGAAGCGCCTATAATAATTGGAAAATCCGATAAATCTCTGAATGGCCTTGAGTCCCCTGGGCAATGGCCAATCTAAAATCGATTGGAGTTTAATGGGGTCCATCCTAAATCCGTCTCCAGAAATAACGTAGCCAAGAAAGTTTATCTGAGATTGGTCGAAGCTACACTTTTCCAATTTGCAGTACAATCCATGTTGTAACAGTTTGCGCAGTACCCTTCTGACTTGTCTGTGGTGAGTCTCAATCTCTCTAGAGTGTATTAGTATATCATCCAAATATACTATAACGCATTCATGCTGAAATTCCCTAAGAACCTCATTAATAAGGTCCTGGAATACTGCAGGTGCATTGCAAAGCCCGAAGGGCATTACCGTGTATTCATAGTGGCCATAACGGGTATTGAAAGCTGTTTTCCATTCGTCTCCCTGCTGAATTCTCACCAAGTTGTAAGCTCCCCTCAAATCTAACTTGGTAAAAATCTTGGAGCCTTTCAGTCGATCAAAGAGCTCAGTAATTAAAGGAATAGGATAAGCATTTCTAACCGTTATCTTATTCAAGCCCCGATAATCAATGCAAGGCCGTAGAGTGCCGTCTTTTTTATCTACAAAAAAGAAACCGGCCCCGGCCGGAGAAGATGATCTCCTAATAAAACCTTTGTCTAGGTTTTCACGTATGTACTCCTCTAGGACTAAGTTCTCCTTAGTGGATAAAGGATATACCGTACCCCTCGGAGGCATAGTACCAGGTAGGAGTCTAATTTTACAGTCGAAAGACCTATGTGGAGGTAAAGTATCAGCCCTCTTTTTGTCAAAGACTGCCTTTAAATCCTGGTACTGTGATGGTATCTGTAAATCTGTAGGTTGGGAAGAGTTAACCGGGGCGTCAACCCTGCAAATTGGTGAGACTTTCTGCACACATCCTTTCTGGCAACCCTGACCCCAGGAGACTATCTCACCCAGTTCCCAGTCAATGATAGGGTTATGCTTCTTAAGCCAGGGATACCCCAAGACTATAGGAACTGAAGGAGATGAGATCAGCATGAGGGATATTCTTTCCTCGTGAAGGATACCAGTGGTTAACTTAATTGGTATGGTTTCACGAAAAATCACAGGTTCAGATAATGGTCTACCATCTATGGCCTCAACGGCCAAGGGTGTATCCCTTAGCTGAGATGGGATAGAATGGTTAGTGACAAAGGCTTGGTCAATAAAGCTTTCAGCTGCTCCGGAATCTATCAAAGCCATAGCATTAAATACTCCCTTTTCCCAAGCTAAAGAAACAGGTATCAGAAGCCTATGATCTTTATAATCATAAATAGAGGACAAGATAGAAACACCCAAGGCCTGTCCTCTTGAGAAACTTAGGTGCGAGCGTTTCCCGGCCGGTTAGGGCAATTTAGGCGTAGGTGCCCTCTAATTCCGCAATACATACAAAGACCCTCCCTTCTCCTGTACTGTCTTTCCTCCTCTGAGAGTCGAGTATGACCTATTTGCATAGGTTCTGGGAGAGCTAAAGTAGTAGAATCAGAAGTCTGAAATGAGGGAGCTAGTCTTATGGAGGATCTGCGGGTTCTATCCCTAATATTCTGCCTCTGTCTCATACGTTCATCTATTCGGGAAATAAATGAAATCAGATCCTCCAAATTTTCAGGAAGATCTCTTGTGGCCACCTCATCTAAAATCTCATCAGATAACCCGTTCATAAATACGTCCATATAAGCCTGTTCATTCCACTTGACCTCTGCTGCCAAGGATCTGAACTCCAAGGCATAATCCACTAGGGTTCGGTTATACTGTCTAAGACGTAACAGTAGTCTAGCTGCATTGGCCTTTCTTCCTGGAGGGTCAAAAGCTCTCCTAAATGCAGCGACAAAAGCATTATAATTATAAACTAACGGGTTATCATTTTCCCACAGGGGGTTAGCCCATCTAAGTGCCTTGTCAATGAGCAAGGTAATTATAAATCCAACCTTTGCCCTGTCAGTAGGGTAGGCGTGGGGTTGTAATTCAAAATGAATACCTATCTGGTTTAAAAAACCTCGACAAGTGTCAGGAGCGCCGCCATAGCGTGACGGGGACGTAACACGGGAAGAAGTAGCCACTGTGGCTACCTCTAGGCCTGTACTTATAGGAGAGATAGATGGGGTACGCATCTCCTCTGAGTGACTACTAGGACGAGATAGCAATGCTTGCAGAGCTAGAGCCATCTGGTCCATTCTATGATCCATGGCCTCAAATCTAGAGTCAGGAGAACCGACCTGAGAGTTTGTACCTGCAGGATCCATTGGCCCTGTCGTAATGTCAGGATCGTGACAGGGATCCAACACGCAGAATACAAACAGGGGATAGGTACGTATACCGGACCTTAGAATGGCCGGACTAACGTAAGGAGAAAGCAAAAGAATAGTCAGAGACAAGCCGAGGTCGAGGGAACGAGAGATCAGGTAAGCGAGAGACAAGCCGAGTCAAAAGGACAAGAGAGGAAAGCAGGGTCAAAATACAAGCCGAGTCAGGAACCAAAAGACAATAGAGGTAATTGCACTGAGTGACCAGACTAGCTAGAACCACGACAGGGCAATGAATCATTCCACAGAACCCTTTTTTATACCTTGGCTCTTTAACTGTTGGCTCCGCCCCCAACGGGTCCTGATTGGTTGTTCGGCACTTGGTTGCCGTGATTGACGGGTCGGAACGTGATTGCCGTCATGACGTCGGCTACTGAGCGCCGCGTCATAAAAGGAGGCGGAGCTATCGCGGCCGGCGTGTAAACGACCGGGAGGAGTGCAAGGATCGGGTGAGTCAGCCCCCCTGGGAGGATGGACGTCTAGGTGTCTACCCTCCTCCGAGGTAGACACCGAAGGTACCCTGACAGTACCATGCAGGAATAGCAGTCATTTATATAATTTGTGGACTCTCTCCAAGTCATTAGAACGGCAAAAGGCACTTGTGACGAGACCAATCTTGCCACTGTGCATTGGAGGAGCCTGGTTGCCCGCCTGCTGCCTTTAGACTATGGCCCCATGTTGAAATGCTTGATTTTCCCCTGCAAAGACATGAAAGCTGGGTCATTCGTGCTTGCCCTGTTTGAACGGTGATACCCCAGATAGATATGCCATGGAGCCAATTCGTATAATGAAAGACTATGGGAAAGACTTTGGCTCCATGGCAATTAAATTGTATGTGTGTGCTCGGAGCGCCATTCAGTATTAATGTGCGCTCAGATCTGAGCTATCTGGGGATATGTTGAATATACCTGTTTTGTGCAATGGCTGCACAGTTATATTTCTATGTGTTTTATTGTCTTTTGCTGTTCAATGGAGTTTTGCCTCTGTCCTTGGAGATAATTGGATTACTTCCCAATTATCTCCAGGATAGAAGACTCTGTGGAACTGGTTTTGGGCAGAAAAGCCATGCTTCATTTGGTCACAAAGGACTTCGATCTATCTTTTGAATCAATGGACCAATTTGGATGATTTTGACATATGTTTGTATTTGGAGTATGCTGATTCTGATTCATTTATGTGAATGTGATGCATACTTTTCAAGCTCTGAATAATGTGGAAAAATTGTATTTCTCTGGCTGTTATAATTACATTACCCATTGTGTAAGGTAATTGTATCACAGGCAGAGGGGAGGATTTTGTGTGGGAGTGTCTGAGTGTATTTTATGTGTTTATTGGTTGTTTTCCAAAACCCTGTGGGTGGTACTAATGTGTATACTTGACCCTCAACACGGAGCTTTGTCTCGTTCTTGGGGGGATTTACTGCATGCTGTTAGAGACTGATTGCCAGGAGTGTAAGCCGCTTGGGTGTTTTTGCTGTTCAGCAGCTAGCAGCTATTCGTGAGGTTCCAGTTCGGGAGTTTGGAGTGCTACTTTGTATGCAGTTCGGGAGTTTGGGGTTCTGCAGTAGCTGTGCCTGTGTCTCTGGAAGGGGAAGATCTACTAAACGGCGGTTTAAGCCCTTTTTATGCCTGGGGGTGCCGTTACAGCACTGAACGTCTTTTATTTAACAAACCATCCACATATATTCACAGAATATGTATTGCAGCAAATATGAAGTGACCAGGGTTTGTCCTGGTCCCCAAGTGGATGCCAAAATAACGCGATAGACTGTCTTCATGAGTGGAGTAATTGGGTGATTCTGCCACATCACCGCACACATAGCAAAACAATGTCAGCAATGGCAACACATTTATGTGGAATCCTGGCTTTTAACATCACGCCAAACAAAAAACAATAAAAAACAACACTCTAACCTTCACTTCATGCAAACAATACACAAAACAGGTCTGACGGTAATTCATCATTCAGGTACTCAGGTTTGCCACAATACCCTATGTAACGGATCGCCTGGCACCCCGACTGGGTACCTCCGTTGAAGGATGCTCCTAGCGCTTCCTGAGGATTCCAAGCACTGCAGCAGACACCACAACCACCGAACCGGAGAAGCATATACCTTCTCTCAAGCATATGAATGCTGTAGACAGTTGAATAGGAACCATACGAATAGGTTTACTCTCCTAGCAGTCAAACTGGAACAGCATACAATAAATCCTTCCCCCAATAATGAGACGACACTTCACTTTGAGGGTTAAAGCAGGAACTCCCTGTACTGTCACATACAGTCTCTTTTATTCCCAATCCACAAACATAGTACAGCCCACAGGGCGTTACAAAACAACCAATCAATCCGTACAATACACCCAGACACTCCCACACAAAATCCTCCCCTCTGCAGGTGATATGATTACTGAACACAATGGGTAATCTCATTATCACCGGCAGAGGAATACAGTTTTTACACAATATTTCTAACTTCTAAAATATACATGTCACATACATAAAACATACATTTTCATAATCAATCCATTCAGGGGAACAACATATTAAAAAATGGCACGAATCAGACCAGGGGTTCAAAAGTTAAGGGAAAGTCCTTTGTGACTAAATGAAGCATGGCTTTCTGGCCCAAACCAGTTTCAGAGTCTTCTATCCTGGAGAGTAATTCAATTATCTCCCAGGATAGACACAAGACTCCATTAAGCACATGGTTGCAAAAAGACACAAAACACTTTAAAATACATAAAGTCACATTTACACATAACACACAGACATTTCACATATCCCCAGATAGCTGGGATCTGAGTGCACATTATTAGATGAATGGCACTCAGATCACACAAATAAGCCTTTCTGCAGGGGAAATAAACGGTTTAACCTGCAGGGCCATAGTCCAAAGGGAGCAGGCGAGCAACCAGGCTTCTCCAGTTCACAGTGGCGAGGTTGGTTTCGCCACACCCTATTTCATCATAAATGAGCTATATCACAGAACCGAAAAGTAATGCGAGAAAGAGGAAGCTTAAAGGGTACTCAGGTTAACCCAAAAACAAAAGAAATAGTGAGTGCCCTTAAAATGTAACTTTTATTAGTAATAGTAAAATTAGGGTCTGAATGTCCTAAATAAGAATACTATTCATAAATAAGAATGTATACAAAGATATTTACAATCCATTAGACATAGGTTGCAAACCAACGTATTAGCAATCTCTTATAAGTGGAACTCGCTGGTCTTGAGACTTCATTTTCATTTAACATTTCATTAAGACCGGATACTTTTTCTGTTTCACGACCCCGAGTTGGCCTAACCGCTTATGCTTCAGGCAGCACTATAATAGTAGATCTATTGAGGATCAGATTCTCGGTCCTCTTTTTTGATTTTTTGTGATATTAACCATTTCTTTATTAACAGCCTGAGCGGTTAAGCATCCATTCACTTGTGCTAATTTATTAAGCATAATAGCTTTTTGTAGCAGAGATCGGATACATAGTATACTAACTATCAGAATGTTGGTGCAGCGTCCCATATCGCTCGGCACATAGATCATTACGATTAAAGTTTTGCATCCATATTCCTTCCTTTTTATGTTGCAGCTAGGATACCCTGCATTTCTGCTATAATGCAGAGTCAATACCGTATATAGCCCATGCAAATTGATCATTTCACATGGCACAAGGTACGCTACTTGTTCAACTATCCTGTGTTATGCTGCAGCTCGGTTACTTCGCATCCAGATAACAAACCTGCTACAATATAGTGATTCTAATGTATATAGCTCATGTGAATTGCAAAACTTTGTTTTCCATACATTACTGGATGAAGGTTTCTGAAAGCTTTTGAACAAAACCTCATTATGATTATACTCTCAGTAATTATCATGTTCACCCTATATTTTTCTGTATATACTTTAGTTGATTTATTTATTTAGATTTCTATTACGACCTATTTCAACCTGGGAATTTGACCATTATTTTTATAGTGGTCCAATATTTACATATTTCATTATCAATAGATCACTTATAAGAGATTGCTAATACGTTGGTTTACATTTACCGATAACAGTTTTAAATATTCTTTTTTCACACTCTGAAATCAATTAAATGTAAGTAATTTGAAGTCAGAAACATTTTCATTGTTGAGCAGGGTGGCGGAACCAACCTCGCCACTATGCACTGGAGAAGCCTGGTTGCTCGCCTGCTCCCTTTAGACTATGGCCCGGCAGTTAAAACCTTTTATTTTCCCTGCAGAAAGGCGTATTCGTGCCTTTCTGCCAGGGTGTTCGGTAGATTCAATCTACCGAACAAAGTACCGATCGATGGACCACCTGGGAACTGGAGTGTACCGTCAATTGACCGCCCAGAAGCTGCGGTTAACCGCAGCTTAATTGACGAACGCTGGGTGGCCTTTGTTTGGTTGCCGAACACGTGGCAGTGGCCATTTTAGCTCCCGAATGGCCAGCGGTGTTCAGCGCCCAAACTATGGAACGGAAAACGGACACTTAATTGTGCGAACACCGCTGAGCCGCCAGCCTCCTTACCTCTGCATTCGGTAGTGGAACAGACAGACTGTTCATTCGGTAGTTTAACCGTATGAACAGCATCACCCCAGATAGCCATGCCATGGAGCCTATTCGTGTAACGAAAGACTATGGGAAAGACTTTGGCTCCATGGCGATTGAACTGTATGTATGTGATCTGAGCGCCATTCGGTAGTAATGTGCGCTCAGATCTAAGCTATCTGGGGATATGTAGAATGTATATGTTTTATGTAATAAATGTAACCGTATGTAATTTTATGTCTTTTTACTAACGTGTGTAATGGAGTTTTGCCTCTGTCCTTGGAGATAATTGGATTACTTCCCAATTATCTCCAGGGCAGAGAGGAGGGATTGTGATGCATTGTGGGATTGTGGAAATGTGTATGTCTGTGATTGGTCAACGTCCAATATGTTTCCCAGTCTTCCATCTGGTCCCCTAGGGGAGTGTCCACCAGGTGGGAGACCTGCATAAAAGCCGGGCATGTAACCCCAGTAAACCAGATTCTGCTTGACCCTCAAAACGAAGTGTCGTCTCGTTATTGGGGGAATTGGATTGTATACTGACTGCCAGGAGTGTAAACCTTTCGTACGTTTTTTCCTGTTCGGCTGTTTCCAGTATTCGTGTAGTTTGCAGTTCGGGAGATTGGTGCTTACAGTAGCTGCCTGTGCATCGGGGAAGGGGAATATCGCCTAAACGGTTTTTAACCTCTTGTGTCCGTTACAAGCAGTTTCACCTAACGTCAGTAGGGACACAGTAAGTGGAATTGGTAGATATGGCTGAATTGGTGTAATGGAGGGAATATGGAATATGACTGGGGCAATAATTATAGCCGTATTTGGATGAATTTAGAGACCTGCAGTGACCTATGGGGGGCAGCACTCTATATAATAACATTGGTAGAGTTTACAGGGTGATATAAGTTGGGGACACAGAGCAGGGGAAGCAGTGGAGGTGAAATGTGAATTGTGGGTGGATGGAAATATTATTCTGTGTTTAATAATGTAGTGCATTATGTGGGTATGTCTGTGTAGGATGGGGTGCATTGTGTGTGTGTCCGTATAGGATGTGGGGGGCATTGTGGGTGTGTCTGTATAGGATGTGGGGGGCATTGTGGGTGTGTCTGTATAGGATGTGGGGGGCATTGTGGGTGTGTCTGTGAGGATGTGGGGGCATTCTGGGTGTGTATAGGATGTGGGGCATTCTGGGTGGGTGGGAGCATCTTGTGTCTGTAGGATGGGGCATTAAAAAGTCTTGCATAGATGGGGGCATTGTGTGTGTGTCTGTATAGGATGGGGCATTGTGTGTGTGTCCGTGATAGATGTGGGGTTGTGTGTGTCCCAGATAGATGTGGGGCATTGTAAAAGCCCATAGAGTGGGGGGCATTGTGTGCTCATAGGGCCGGGGGCATTGTGTGCGTGTCTGTATAGATGTGGGGCATTGGGTGTGTCTGTAGGATGGGGGCATTGTGGTGTGTCCTGAGTAGGATGTATTCTGGGTGTGTCTGGTAGGATGTAAAGGCCAGGGTGTGTCTGTGTAGGATGGCATTGTGTGTGTCAGGATGGGGCACAGTGTGTCTGTAGGATGTGGGGCATTGTGTGTGTGTCTGTATAGATGTGGGGCATTGTGGGTGTGTCTGTATAGGATGTGGGGGGCATTGTGTGTGTGTCTGTATAGGATGTGGGGGGCATTGTGGGTGTGTCTGTATAGGATGTGGGGGGCATTGTGTGTGTGTCTGTATAGGATGTGGGGGGCATTGTGTGTGTGTCTGTATAGGATGTGGGGGGCATTGTGGGTGTGTCTGTATAGGATGTGGGGGGCATTCTGGGTGGGGGGAGCATCTTGTTCTTGGACCCAGACAGAGCAATGTCTTGGTCAGGCCACGTCACATTTAGAAATAAACAAGAAAGATGGTGTTTGTTTATTTCTGTTTTACCACCATTGTCAGAGTTTACCGATGTGTTGGTGGTTAGGGTACCACTATTGTTTTTGTATTGGCATGGTCACATTTACACAGAAAGGACAACTTTACATTAGAAGAGAGATAATTACCTTCAGTATTCTCATATGACAAGTTCTTGCAAACAGCGTCTGGACATTTGTGTATTCTGGTGCGGAGGTATTCAGCTGCACCAATTTCACCAGACTGCTACCCATCGGGTCCCAATCTGCAGGTAACTCTAAGGACTCTCCTTCTGGAAAACACAATATGGTCTAAATCAGTCTCTAAAAACCATGAAAAGAGAAGTGAAACATAATAGTAATACTCTCTGCCATGAGATGTCTACCCTATCTGCATCCAGGTTCTGCTGCATGGGTGTAACATGGAGTGCCATTGCAGGTTCTCATTAGGGGGTTCTGCTGCATGGAGTAACATGGGATGCCAATAGGGACTTCTGCTGCATGCCATAAGGAGATTCTGAGGGTTCTGCACCATGGGGATAATGTGGGGTGCCATTACAGGGTTCAGAGGGTTAAGGTGTTCAGAGGATTCTGCAGCATAGGGTAACCTAGGTTGCCAACAGGTGGTCCAGAACGTTCTGCCATTTGGGGTGACATCAGGAGGTTCAGAGGATTCTGTTCAGGTAGTAACATGGAGTGCCATCAGGGGATTCAGAGGGTTCTGCAGGCACACCATGTTAGCAGATGGTTCAATTCCATGGGGCACCATCAGAAGGTTCAGAGGCTTTTACCACATGGGATATAATATAGGGTGCCATCAAAGAGTTCTGTTCCATTGGGTAATATTAGGTGCCATCAGGGTTTCAGAACATTCTGCTGCATTGGGTAACACAGGATGCCACCGTGGTCTCTAACACAGTGTTAAGGCCCCCTCAAGTCACACTACACACACGCACATATATATATTATTATTGTTATTATTATTATGGTATTTATATAGCGCTAACAAATTCCGCAGCGCTTTTCAATGGGTGGACAAACAGACATGTAGTTATTATTATTATGATATTTATAGAGCGCCGTCAAATTCCGCAGTGCTTTACAATGGGTGGATGAACAGACATGTAGTTATAACCAGACAGGTTGGACACACAGGAACAGAGGGGTTGAGGGCCCTGCTCAATGAGCTTACATGCTAGAGGGAAATCTTGAAGGTGAGCATCAGAGGTGGGAGTACGGACAGATGATAGACGTAAGTCTTCAGCAGATCGTAAGGGCCTAGACGGGACATACTTGTGTATTATGGAGGATAGATAGGTGGGAGCAGCATTATGTAGAGATCTGAAAGCAAGAACCAGAATTTTAAATTGAGCTCTATATTTTATAGGAAGCCAATGTAGGGACTGACAGAATGGTGAGGCATGGGAGGCGCGGGCGGACAGGAAGATGAGCCTCGCTGCTGCATTCATTATGGACTTGTGATCCTTGTCACCAGGTAGCACGGTCCTCTAGGGCAAAAACATGCACAGTCCTTGTAGTTGCAAATACTCCAGGCACTTTATTTGTAAATCCACACAGGATACAGCAGTAAATGAAAATCAAAAGTAACACAAAACCCTATAAACAAACACCTAGCTCGTCTGAGCACTAACTGACTTTAGTTCCCTATCTCTCAGGGTTAAACTAAACACAATATTGCACCAACCTTATTAGAGAGCAACGCTCTGCTATCTAACCTGTTGCTTTCCTTTCTGCACTCCCAGTGCTCCAAGCCAGCCTTGCCCTGACTGCTTTGCTTTCTGCACTCCCAGTGCTCCAAGCCAGCCTTGCCCTGACTGCTTTGCTTTCTGCACTCCCAGTGCTCCAAGCCAGTCTTGCCCTGACTGCTTCCTTTCTGCACTCCAAGTGCCTAGTCTTCTTGACTATATGGAGAGAACAGCCTCTCTCTCCTACCTGCTTCCTGGGAGGAAGCCAGCAATCCCTCTCCTTTTCCTGCCTAGCTGGGAGGAGTTTATTCCCACTGCAACAGCTGATTACCTGCAGCTGAGCAGTGGGTTGGAGACAGTCCAAAAAACCCTGGCCTGGATCTAGGTCTCCCCAGAACACCACTAAACTGTGGAGTGGAGCATTGGCCCACCCTTCTCTCCAAATGCTCCACCCCAGGGGCCCATAACTAAACAATGTGTTGTGTTGTGCAAAACACAAACTACACATACTCCCCCTGGGGTTAAAAGGCCTATCTGCCTTCACTTTATCACATATCCTCCTCCCCAGCTCAGACCCATCGGGTCGAGCGGCCTTAGAACACAAACCGTGAACATTCATAACACCTAGGCCTCTACCAGCCCTGACTAGCTTCACAGTTATAGGAAGTGGCCTATTGTGGATGGGGGCTACCTTGCTCCCTTGTAGTTTAAGGAGCCCGCACCCAATATGATAACCCAAATAGTTAGCAGTGTTAGCGGTCAAACCGGCATCCTTTACATTATTCACAACTAACCGGACCTTCATCAGGTGTGCTACCCGGTCAACCCTGTGAAACACCACATCTAGGTAGGCAGCTGCATACTCTGGCTGGAACAAAACACTTTTCATCAAAGTAACCTCACTCCCTGAATCTATCAGTGCTTGTGCACTCTTCCCTACCACCATCACCACTTTTAGCTGTGCTGTAACACCACCACCAGTCACTATACACATCTTTAAGCAAGTCAGTACAATCCTATACAGAGCCCTTATTCCTATGTCACATTGTATTGGCTCTTCACTCTCAGGACAGTTATATGTAATATGTCCATGCATGCGGCAGTTGAAGCAGTTTTTCTCAGTCTGGTCTCGTAGCCAAAATAGGACTTTTAGGTACGTTCTACCATCATAGGTATATTGTCCCAGACTTTGTCCTTGCTTTCCAGTTTCCCCACTTATCTGGTTGCTAGCGGATCTAGGCTGAGGATCAGTACTGTGTGGCTCCTTAGTAGCCAAGTTCCTCTGAATCATCATCTGCTTCCACATCCATAGCAGCTTCTGATTTGATAATCTCTCAACGTTAGAGTAACTTTCAAAAGCAAACTTTGCAAAGGCTTGGCGTGTAGCTATACGTCCAATTCCTTCATGAGCTGAATTTTCCAGGTGCTCAACCTCTTCAAGACCTGGTTCTGTCACCAGCTCATCCTTCACTGGAACAAGTCCCTCCGCGAAGGGCTCCACAACATCCTCCATCTGTTCTGCGAATCCCTGGGAACCTGCCTTGCTCCCTATGGGGTTGTCCAGAGACGCAGTCATGGCCTCTCGCTGGGTCATTACAGCCCTGGTATCAAACAGCCGGTCAGGCATTCCAAGTCCCGCCTTTAATTCCATGACTGTGTTCCCAGAATCTGGCAGCTGTTCCCGGTAGTCAGTGCGCCCAGGCTTTGTAGCAGTAGTCTTTGCCAGCAGATCTAGTTCTACGGCTCCCGGACAATCATTCAAATTCTTTGTAACAATACCAGGTGTCTCTGCTACTAAACAGCGCACCACATTGTTATACTCAACTGGAGTGCTTTGCTTCTCTTCATTTTGCTCAGCTCCTTTGCTGTTGTCTTCTCTGACTCCCCAAGTCAGTCTGCTTTTCATGACTTTAACTTGTTCACTTGGGTGAACATCAGCGGCTTCTGCTTCACTTTTTATTACACAAACCGGCTTGACACTGCTGGCCTCAGCCACAGTCTTTTTTTCTCCTTTCTGATTCTTCTGACCTTTCTTACTTTGGCGCATGTCATCAGTGTCGCCATCACTGCCTCTTGGCAATTCCGCTTTTTCCTTTAGCTTTGCTGGACTCTTTACTAACTTTTTTTCTTTTTGTTCCTTTGAGGATCCAGCTGGCTTTTCACCCTCTTCCATTTTATCACTTTCAGGCTCAATTTCATCCTTCTTGCCTTTTAATTCCTGTTCTTTCTCTCCTGCGTGTTTCTCAACAGCACGCTTTGCTGCCTCCATGCTTTTCAGCTTGCTGAAGACTTCTTCTACTGCCTCTGTCACCCCATGCAGGATGTCAGTAGCTTGGTTACAGGGTCCCTTGTCCTCACGCTCCCTGCAGGGGGCAATCTGCAAAACCTCAGTAAGGGCAGCTCTATGCTCCTGCTGAGCATCTCTCAGGTTCTTAACCTGTGCAGCCAATAAACGGTTTGTGTCTTGTTGTTTAGCAGTTGCCTGTACCACAGCCTTCAGCAGGTCCTCCATTATAGCACCAAGCAGGTAACAGTCTTAAAGGTACAGTGCTACTTGTTTGCTTGACAGGTCTGCAAAAATAAAAGTCCTCAAGCAGACTACCGAATGACTGGCACACCCACAGACCCTCACTGTGCTACTTTGCCCGCATTCTCCACCATATTGTGATCCTTGTCACCAGGTAGCACGGTCCTCTAGGGCAAAAACATGCACAGTCCTTGTAGTTGCAAATACTTCAGGCACTTTATTTGTAAATCCACACAGGATACAGCAGTAAATGAAAATCAAAAGTAACACAAAACCCTATAAACAAACACCTAGCTCGTCTGAGCACTAACTGACTTTAGTTCCCTATCTCTCAGGGTTAAACTAAACACAATATTGCACCAACCTTATTAGAGAGCAACGCTCTGCTATCTAACCTGTTGCTTTCCTTTCTGCACTCCCAGTGCTCCAAGCCAGCCTTGCCCTGACTGCTTTGCTTTCTGCACTCCCAGTGCTCCAAGCCAGCCTTGCCCTGACTGCTTCCTTTCTGCACTCCCAGTGCTCCAAGCCAGTCTTGCCCTGACTGCTTCCTTTCTGCACTCCAAGTGCCTAGTCTTCTTGACTATATGGAGAGAACAGCCTCTCTCTCCTACCTGCTTCCTGGGAGGAAGCCAGCAATCCCTCTCCTTTTCCTGCCTAGCCGGGAGGAGTTTATTCCCACTGCAACAGCTGATTACCTGCAGCTGAGCAGTGGGTTGGAGACAGTCCAAAAAACCCTGGCCTGGATCTAGGTCTCCCCAGAACACCACTAAACTGTGGAGTGGAGCATTGGCCCACCCTTCTCTCCAAATGCTCCACCCCAGGGGCCCATAACTAAACAATGTGTTGTGTTGTGCAAAACACAAACTACACATACTCCCCCTGGGGTTAGAAGGCCTATCTGCCTTCACTTTATCACAGACTATAACGGCGCATGTTGGGAGCACGTAAGACCACTGAGAAGTGGATTACAGTAGTCAAGGCGAGAAAGGACAGTGGAATGGACCAACACCTTAGTCTTATCTGGCGATAAATAGGGGCGGTTTTTGAGATGGAAACGTCAGGATTGAACATGAGGTTTGAAGAATATAAATAAATAAAACACATCACTCCAATATCAACACTCAGTAAACTATACAAGAAACAGTGTAGTGGAATGGATGCCCTAACTACACTTTTATTCCCTTTTGTTTGGCTGTCCGTAAACCCCTGTTTGTTTACCGAACCAACTCTGTGTGGTCCCCTTGTTCACACCTTCTAATCACCGACCACATTAGTGCAAGTTTTTCCCCTGTGTGGCCGCCATTTGTATAACAGAACACACGTGCTCCAAGAACTGGCGGCCATTTTGTTGCCTGAACGCAGGCAGTGGTACATGGTCGTTGATGGCATGGAACTATCTCTTGGATATGCAACCCCCCGAACACCCGGGAAACTTGTACTGCTGCCCATCCAACTTCTCGAACAGTTATGAGAACGGCTTTGGAACGGTTTTGGGGCATCACCTTGTGGCCAACGGGTCAAAACTTCATTTGAATGGCGTTCCTGGACTGCCAAAGGGATCTGAGCGCTATTTTGATAAAGTGGGTGCTCAGACCCAAGCTATTCGGAGATATGACATTCGTGTGGTTCCCATGTTATTAAAATTGTGTATGTTTTACTGTATCTGAGAGATAATTGAGTTATAGTTTTGCTATCTCAATCATCTCTTAGAAACAGAGGAACCTGCGAGGAAAACTCTTGTAATGTTGATGTGGAGACCCCATGTAGGGGTCAGTGCATAAAAGCCATGTGGTGGTCAAAATAAACTCAGTTGACTCCCAGATCTATGTGTCGTCTAGTTACTGGGGGGAAAGTGTCTTGGAATATTATACTGCTTCTTTCAACTTCAAGGAAGGAATAGAGGAGATACCCATGTGGTATTGGAGCTCCGCTACACACAGGAATGAGTGAAATGGAACTTTGAGAAGTTAAATGTTTTTAGTTTGTTGATACATAGGTACCTAGATAATATTGGACAATATTGCTTTTATTTACCATGTTTGTTCACTCGTACAATCTTTACGCTGTTCCCGTGGCTGTCTGTGGCAGTTTTGCTTTGCATGTGGACAGTGAATGTTTTTCCGCTAATAAAAACGGTGACTGTTGGTTTCTTCGCTTTGTCCACCTCCTCCAATTCCAAGCTAGTTAAATGATCAAATCTGTACAATCTTCCCTGATATTCGTATTTCCACTCCACCGTATTGCTGAGCAGTTCTGCCTCCTTCTCCCTGTTTTTCCGGTCCTTTAGTTTGCCAATCATCTTCTGGATTTCAAGTACAGCACGCGCTGCATCTCTGCTGAGACCAGAAACTCGAACGCTCGAAGTGGCTGGTTTGTATTCCATGTGAACCTGTAACCTCTTTTGCAGTTCAGAAAATTTCTCCAGATCTGAAACGTCAAAGTCTGCAATCAGTTCATCTTCTATCAAGTTCTCTGACTGCTCGTCCAGAATCCGCTTTTGAAGCCAGGATTCCGCAGCCATCAGATTCGCGCTGCTTTCTGCACAGAGGTCAAATATGGCCGGATCGATGTTATCCATTAACTGAAAGGCTGACAGTTTTTGTGGAGGGGGTTTCTTTGCAGGAATAAGCCAGGCTGTAAAACAAAACAAAACACAATAAACAAACTAAAATCACCATTTACAAGACACAGCATGAATGTGTTAAGGACGCCCTACAGCCCAGTAATGGATTACTTTAATGTAAGTTACCGTATGCCGTTCTCTTCGGTATTATTGTTGTATACACCCAATTACACAAACAACCAGGAGCATATATTCGTGCATACAAACTAAGACCACCCAGTCCTTGGTGTGTGCCGCCACTTAACCTTTTTCACCTCTAAAACAACCGAACGGACGACCACCGGGAAACTGCGGTTTGCAGTTAACCACAAACTTAATTGACTGCCTCAGGGTGGCCTCGTTCGTATAAGACTTCACCGTACTCAAACTCCCGAACGAGGACCACCTACACTCCGGCGTGTGCTCTTAATCAGAACATTGAGGCTGCGGTTAACCGCAGGCTAATTGCCTCTTCAGGGCGTTTCTCGATCCAGGGGTTTTGGAGCCAGGTCCCGATCACCTATTGACCGACAGAAAACATGGCTGCCATCTCGTGTTCGGGACAAAGAAACACGAAAAGACTTGTATGCAATAGGGGCGTTCGTGAGGTCTGAGCGCTATTCGCCTATCGGATGCGCTCAGACCTGAGCTATCTAATGAATGGTAGAATGTAAGAGGTGCCTACTAAAATGTTATTGTGGCAAAACTAGCCACTTAAGACTATACCTGTATGAATATGTGTATATACCTTTAAAGCTGAACCAAGTATAGTACTGTATCTACATTTCAGGCGAACAAGGGCATTCGTATGCTGGCGGCATGAAAAACCCCAGCATTCATACTGTAGTTTCACGAACAGTGCATTTCAACACTGTTCGTGAAACGAATAAACTACCGAATGGACGACCACACACAGGAGGTTGTGTGGCGCCCATTAACCGATTGCAACATTGTTGCAATCGGTAGTTAAGGGCTTTCCTAGGTGGCCGTCGTTCGGCTACCAACCACGCGGCGGTCGGCCATCTTGGTTCCTTTGTTAAGCCCAGCGGTATTTGGTCGTCGAGCACCTGGAACTAAAATCAGCTACTCGACGGCATGAATACCGCTGGACTTCCAGGACGTTCGGGAGCCCCGGGCATTCTGTAGTTTGTTCCCCTAATACCAATCAGTACTTTAAATGTGATTTGGAAATAATGTGTGTTTCGTGCGGCGTTCGGTTAGTTATACCGAACGTCCATTCGTTTAAATAAAGGGAATATTATGGAAGTTATGCATTTTAATGTAAAATGTCAGTTCTGCTGCACGGAGAGATAATCCACTTAACTGTATAGTCTAGTGGGAGTATCCCTCCCATGCAGCAGTGCATGGTGGGAGAAATATCCGGGTTGTTCAGTTCCCCATGTAGTCCCCTACTGTACCACCCCTGGAATGTCAGTAGGGAAACCCCTTGCATGGGGAATCCCATAAATACAGTGACCTGTGAACAAAAGCTCAGCTGACTCCCAGCCTATGTGTCGTCTAGTTCTTGGGAGGGAAGGATTCTTACAACGCAACCGGGATTATTGTATGCTGTATTTATTTCCTTGGATTATTTTATGCTGTTCCTGTTACCCAGCGGAGATACTGTGGATTATACTACCTCGCCGCTACAATTGGTGGAAAGCGACGGGACTGAAACTACACAGCAAAGCAACGATGGGCAAAAATTAAAATGAATAGAGGAGAAAGAGCAACAATTCGTGAGTTAACCCATTCGGATGAAACCTGAGCCAGGAACACGTGGAAATCCGCGAACGGCCAGTGAATGGGAACAAATTATGCCCTTTTGAAATGAAGCACATTAAAAGAATTACTTGAATCAAGAAGAGCAATAGTCAGCAAAAAGGCGAAGGCTATCTTGATTACAGAACTGATGGAAGGAGACAGAGCAGCAGCTGCTGCAGCACCTCCAATGGAGGAAGATCAACATGAATTCGCAAAAGAATTCAGGAGCAGGATGGCTTTATTCCCAAACCGACCATCTGAAGGATCTTCGCAGATATGCAGGAATACATCATGCTCAGAGAGGCACAGAGAAACCAACAAGCCGGAGAAAAAGCCACGACACCGGTCAACATTTTCCCAGGGAAAGCCAAAATTCCCTACCAAGCCTTCAAAAGCTATTCAGAGGCTGACGGTGGCGTAGATGACTAACTGCAGGATTTTGAGAGGCTGTGTCAACTACACGACATCAGCGAGGCGGACCGGGTACCTTTACTAGCAGGGAGACTATCCGGTCGCGCAGCAGAGGCGTACCGGGCTGTGCCGGATGAGGACAGTAGAGACTACGACAATGTAAAACAAGCGATTTTAGCCCGGTATGCGATCACCTCAGAGGCATACCGCATAAAGTTTTGGTACATTAAAAAGCCAACGAAAGACACCCATGTAGAGTGGGCACACCGGCTACAGCGAGCTGCAAAGGGGTGGTTGAAAGCCACCCAGGTTAACACGTTGGAGGGCGTGTTCCAATTGATGGTCATGGAACAGTTCTTCGACGGAATACCTGCCTACCTACAGAATTGGGTAAGGGACCGAAAACCGCACACCCTGCAAGAGGCTGCCAAGAGGGACCAGTGCACCCAAAACCGACCAGTGTACAACCCCACACCGATGATACCAGCAGTGACTCCCACTATCCAGCCATGACCTGGGGTAAGCCAAAATAACTACACCCCCAGGTACCCTGCACGTCCACCAATTCGGTGCCACTCCTGCAACCAACAGGGGCATATCCAGCGGGACTGCCCATGCAACCGACCCAGGCCCAGTTGGAGCAACCGAGCGGACATACAGAACAAAACAGTATGGAACGACCGAGGCTGTGACTCCAATGGAAGAACCGCTAGGAACCCCATCCAGGCCACCTCAGACAACCGGCAAGGGCACTGACAGGAGGTCCATATGGAGGGGAAAAAGGTACAAGGACTTTGTGACTCTGGGGCTACCTTAACACTAGTCCGAAGTCATTTGGTACCTAAACCCAATTTAACTGGAGACTGTGTTGCTGTACGGGTGGCAGGGGGGCGATTTACAAAGTACCTACGGCCAAGGTGCACTTGAATTGGGGAGCGGGGCACGGGAATGTGTATGTGAGGATGATGCAGGACTTGCCAGCCGACGTTATTTTGGGCAACAACCTTTGGTTCTGAAGTGGCCCTAGACCCCTCTCTGCAGGTATACAAAGACCGTATAGATAAAGATCAGGCAGGATTAGAAGGGGAGAGATACATCTGGGACAAAGGACTACTGTACCGTCACGCGGAAAAAGTGGTGTCCGGATCCATACCTTTACTCATTAAACAATTAATAGTGCCTCGAAAGTATAGGTTAGAACTATTACATATCGCCCATGATATTCCCCTGTCTGGGCACTTAGGAATCAGCCGCACTAAGCACAGGCTAACCCAGAACTTCTTTTGGCCAGGTATTTCACAGAACGTTATTGCCAGACCTGTGATACCTGCCAAAGAGTAGGGAAGAGGGAAGACCGGTACAAAGCTCGCCTCCGGTCTCTGCCCATAATTGAGGAACCCTTCAGTAGGGTGGTAGTAGATATTATAGGACCCGGAGCTAAGCCCAGCCCCTCCAGCAACAAATATGTCTTGACCGTGGTGGATTATGCCACCAGATACCCTGAGGCAGTAGCCTTGACAAACGTGCATGCGGAAACAGTAGCAGAGGCCCTGATGCGAATATTCTCCCACGTAGGATTTCCCCGGGAGATTATTTTGGATATGGGCACTCAGTTTACCGCGGAAGTCACACATCAGCTCTGGAAGATATGTGGGGTACAACAAATCTTGAACTCCGCTTATCACCCCCAGTCCACTGGGCTCTGTGAACGGTTTAACGGAACACTTAAACAGATGATCCGTACGTTCATAGACACTCAGAAGGACTGGGAAAGGTTTTTACCCCACTTGTTATTTGCTTATAGGGAAGTACCCCAAGAATCCACCGGGTTCTCTCCGTTCAAATTGTTATTCGGGAGGAGAGTGAGGGTCCCCCTCAATTTAATCCGGGAACACTAGGAGGGAGAAGGGACTATTAACGGCACCCCCATTGTGCCCTATGTGCTAGAGTTCAGGGAACGCCTGGAGATGCTGACCCAGACCATACGAGACAATCTCCAGGTAGCCCAGCAACGACAGCGCAGATGGTACGATAAGGGAGCCAGGGACCGCAGCGTTCAGGTGGGGAAAAAGGTACTTATCTTACGACCAGTCCACAAAGATAAGCTGCACGCTTCCTGGCAGGGCCCATACAAGGTGGTAGAACAGATCTGTGATACCACCTATGTGATTGGCCCGGTCACAGGCACGGGAGGCAAACGCATGCTCCATGTGAACATGCTCAAGCCATACCACGAGCGCAGCGAAGAGGTAACCGCGATCTGTGCCCCTGCCACCGAGGACTTTGAGAATTTGCCACTCCCAGATCTCCTAGACCAAGAGGGCCAAGTGCAAAGGTTAATACAGGAAAAGGGAGCCACTTTTTCCAATCTACCCGGCTATACAAGGTAGAAATCCTGGATAAGACTCCTCTTCGCCAAACTCCTTACCGCATACCAGAAGCCGTCAAAGAAAGTATGCGGAAGGAGATTGAGGAAATGCTACAGTTAGGGGTTATAGAGCATTCTGACAGCCCCTGGGCCTCCCCCGTAGTACTAGTACCAAAACAGGACGGGACGACCCGTTTCTTTGTAGACTACCGGAGGCTCAACGATAGGACGACCTCGGACACCTACCCTATGCCCAGGATAGACGAGCTCCTGGACAAAATGGCCAGGGGCCGGTACCTCACCATAGATAGATCTGTGTAAAGGGTACTGGCAAATTCCGCTAGCAGAGGATGCTATGCCCAAATCGGCATTTGTCACCCTGTTTGGCCTGTATCAGTTTAAGGTCATGCCATTCGGGATGAAAAATGCCCCGGCTACCTTTCAGAGGATGGTAGATCGGTTATTGGATGGGTTCCAGGAGTACGCGTGCGCATATTTAGATGATATCGCCATTTTCAGCTACTCCTGGCCCGAGCACCTGACCCACATAGGAGCCGTACTAGACCGGATCAGGGAAGCCGGGCTGACCCTCAAACCCAGCAAATGTCATATAGGGATGGCAGAGGTTCAGTACCTAGGGCACAGGGTAGGAAGCGGACAGCAGAAGCCAGAACCTGCCAAAATAGAGGCAGTTGCCAAGTGGCCAACCCCTCGCACCAAAACCCAAGTACTTGCCTTCCTAGGTACCGCAGGGTACTACCGGAAATTTGTGGACAACTACAGTACCCCTCACTGATAGTAGTATGGGCCCCAGAGTGCGAACAGGCATTTCAGCAGCTCAAGACGGCACTTGTTAACTCACCTGAACTTTCTGCTCTTGATCCAACTAAACGCTTTCTCGTCCATACAGACGCTTCTATGTTTGGATTGGGAGCAGTACTGAGCCAAGTTGGAGCGGATAGCGGCGAACACCCAGTAGCTTATCTAAGCCGAAAACTGTTACCCAGAGAAGTAAGCTATGCCGCCATCGATTGGTTGTGGTGTGGGCCCTCAAAAAGCTGCAGCCCTATTTATATGGGCAACCGTTTACATTGCTCACAACCCGTTGGTGTGGCAGAACAGGGTGTCAGGAGACAATGCCAGGCTGCTGAGCTGGAGTTTGGCGAGGTAGCCTTTTGACTTTACGATTCACTACCGCCCTGGGAAGCAAAATGGCAACGCCGACGGGTTATCCCGACAAACAGACCTGGAACCGTGATCTGTGAGTGCTCCTCCGGACATCCCCAAGCCGATCCGTTGGGATCAGACCGTGTATGCCGGCTTGGTGAGCATTGTGGCAAAACTAGCCACTTAAGACTATACCTGTATGAATATGTGTATATACCTTTAACCCCTTAAGGACCAAATGCCTGGAATAAAAGGGAATCATGACATGTCACACATGTCATGTGTCCTTAAGGGGTTAAAGCTGTTAGAACCAAGTATAGTACTGTACCTACATTTCAGGCGAACAAGGGCATTCGTATGCTGGCGGCATGAAAAACCCCAGCATTCATACTGTAGTTTCATGAACAGTGCATTTCAACACTGTTCGTGAAACGAATAAACTACCGAATGGACGACCACACACAAGAGGTTGTGTGGCGCCCATTAACCGATTGCAACATTGTTGCAATCGGTAGTTAAGGGCTTTCCTAGATAGCTGTCGTTCGGCTACCGACCACGCGGCGGTCGGCAATCTTGGTTTCTTTGTTAAGCCCAGCGGTATTTGGTCGTCGAGCGCCTGGAACTAAAATCGGCTACTCGACGGCACGAATACCGCTGGACTTCCAGGCCGTTCAGGAGCCCCGGGCGTTTGGTAGTTTGTTCCCCTAATACCAATCGGTACTTTAAAGGTGACTTGGAAATAATGTGTGTTTCGTGCGGCGTTCGGTTAGTTATGCTGGGATCTGAGCGGTATTCTCACGAACTATGCGCTCAGACCCCAGCTATCTACCGATCGTCCATTCGTTTAAATGAAGGGAATATTATGGAAGTTATGCATTTTAATGTAAAATGTCAGTTCTGCTGCACGGAGGGATAATCCACTTAACTGTATATTCTAGTGGGAGTATCCCCCTTTGTGCAGCAGTGCATGGTGGGAGAAATATCCGGGTTGTTCAGTTCCCCATGTAGTCCCCTACTGTACCACCCCTGGAATGTCAGTAGGGAAACCCCTTGCATGGGGAATCCCATAAATACAGTGACCTGTGAATAAAAGCTCAGTTGACTCCCAGCCTATGTGTCGTCTAGTTCTTGGGAGGGAAGGATTCTTACAACGCAACCGGGATTATTGTATGCTGTATTTATTTCCTTGGATTATTTTATGCTGTTCCTGTTACCCAGCGGAGATACTGTGGATTATACTACATCTCCGCTACAGTTATAAATATGTATTTTTATGCTGTTTTACATGTTCAAATAAAATGTGGGATTCTGGGCACTTGGAGATAATTAAATTGCCATAATCGTTGTAATCATTATCTCCAACCTGGGCGGTGACTATTTCAAACGATGCAGTTTATTGTCATTGGTCAACTGTTTGTATTGTCCCTGTATCCCATCAGGTCCAGAGGGGGCTGTCCCTGGACCTGGGGTTTTGCATAATTTAACAGCACCCCCAGGCATAAAAGGGTTAAACCGCCGTTTAGTCGATCTTCCCTTTCCAGAGATACAGGCACAGCTACTGCAGAACACCAAACTCCCGAACTGCATACAAGGGAATGCTCCAAACTCCCGAACTGCATACAAAGTAGCACTCCAAACTCCCGAACTGGAACCTCACGAATAGCTGCTAGCAGACAAATAGGAAAAGCACCCAAGCGGCTTACACTCCTAGCAATCAGTCTCTATCAGCATACAGTAAATCCCCCCAAAGACGAGACAAGGCTCCGTGTTGTGGGTCAAGCAGTGGTCTGTTTAATGAGGGCTACCTGCCCAGTATTTATGCAGGTCTCCCACCGGGTGGACACTCCCCTAGGGGACCAAATGGGAGACTGAGACACAAATAGTACAATGACCAATCACAGACAGGCATGGTTAAACCACTCTCTTAATACATTACAATCCCTCCCCTCTATCCTGGAGATAATTGGGAAGTAATCCAATTATCGCCAAGGACAGAGGCAAAACTCCATTACTTACATGGTTACAGTAAAATACTAAAACACAATAAAATACACAATATTACATTTATCACACAAAATATACACTTGCAACCCATCCCCAGATAGCTGGGATCTGCGCGTACAAAAGTACCGAATAGCACTCAGATCCTATGCACACAGTCCAATCGCCGTGGAGTCAAAGTGTTCATAAAGTCTGTTCTCCATCCGAATAGACTCCACGGGATGGCTATCTGGGGTATGGTGTATTCCGGTACAAACTATCGAATATAGGGCCGTTCATGCACTTCTACCGAACAAGAAGGGAGGTCAGCGGCTTCAGCGGTGTTCTCGCCAAAATGTATCCGTTTTCAGTTCCATGAGTTGGGCATCGAACACCGCTGGGCGTTCGCATGTTTAAAATGGCCGCGACCTCGTGTTCGGTATAATGAATGGCGGCCACCCAGCATTCGTCAATTAAGCTGCGGTTAACCGCAGCTTCTGGGAGGTTAATTGCAGACACACTCCAGCTCCTAGGTGGTCCAGTCATTCGTGTGTTAGTTCGGTAGATTGAATCTACCGAACACCGGGCAGAAAGGCACGAATAAGCCTTTTCTGCAGGGAAAAAAGAAGGCTTTTAACATGGGGCCATAATCCAAAGGCAACAGGTGAGCAACCAGGCTTCTCCAATGCAATGTGGCGAGATTGGTCTCGTCACACATAAATAGTGATGTCCAGGTGCCATTAAAACCAGTTTGTGTTTGACCTTCAAATTGCAGCCTCGACTCGTTTTGTGGGAACCAGGGTATCCTAGCTATACTAGAGCTAGTGGGATTGTTATACATTCGTAGGATTCTTATGGCATGCTGAACGGAACAGCGCCTCTCTCTCTCCACACTCGGGAGCCAGGACATCCAAGCGGTCCAGCCTTCAACTAGCTTGGAGGTAACCGTAACACCATGATTTGTGAATAAATTGGCCATCTCATAGTGCAGCTAGTACAGTGCCCTATATTTAATCTTAGAAACCATAATATCATGTTGATCTAGTGATGGGGCTCTATTAATTAAGAGTACACCATCAGAGCGCACTGTACCGCAGTGTGTCCACCATCTGCATGGAAAGCCCTTACAGCAACACTCCAAGTACCATAACCACTATTGTCTTCCCTTAACTAACCAAGTCTTATATAGCTGAGAGCACCTGGTGGGACGCGGGTTCTAACACAGTTTGACAAATTACTCTGGGAGGTTACATTGTGCTCCTAGCAAAAAACACACTACAGCAGGCTTGGAGTATTTCTCTCACCCAAACTTGGCAAGAAGAGATCCTGGAGACTTTAACTCCCTTCACTGCCAGTCAGGTATCGCCACTCCCAGCCAGATATTACCAGGCAAAAGTGCATGTTTTCACTTTAAAAATGCTATTTTTCCCCCAGAAATGAAGAGGTGCAGTCATTGAATGGGTTATGTACTACCAGAGCCTTTGCTCACAATGATTAAGACAAGGATCAGAACTCACAGGCCATTTTCTGAAACAGTGATAGTTGTTGCGGCATGACGGAGCCTTCCTTCTGTTTCATACTCTGATAGAAGTCGTTTATCATCGGTTTTTGGAAAATGACGACTTTCACAATTTGAATCCTCCGTGCCAATCTTTTATTCACAAAATCTGCAACAGCATCCAACATGGCATCAGCCACGAGGGTAGCGGGCACAGCGCCTGCACCTAGTGTAACGATGACAGAAAGCATTAAATACACAGCGCCTGCACCCAGTGTAACGATGACAGAAAGCATTAAATACACAGCGCCTGCACCCAGGCTAACGGTAACAGAAAGCATTAAACACACAGCGCCTGCACCCAGGGTAACGATAACAGAAAGCATTAAACACACAGCGCCTGCACCCAGGGTAACGATAACAGAAAGCATTAAACACACAGCGCCTGCACCCAGTGTAACGATAACAGAAAGCATTAAACACACAGCGCCTGCACCCAGTGTAACGATAACAGAAAGCATTAAACACACAGCGCCTGCACCCAGGGTAACGATAACGATAATAGAAAGTACTAAACACAGCGCCGCTTCCGGCACCCAGTGTAATTCATAACAGAAAGCATTAAACAGCCTGCACCCAGTGTAACGCATAACAGAAAGCATTAAACACACAGCCTGCAATCTAGGGTAACGATAACAGAAAGCATTGGGAAACACACAGCGCCTAAAAATTCCAGGGTAACTATAATGAAAGTTTACTAAAATGCCACAAGGGAGCTTGCACCCAGGGTAACGATAAATATATGCTATTAAACACACAGCGCCTGCACCCAGGGTAACGATAACAGAAAGCATTAAACACACAGCGCCTGCACCCAGGGTAACGATAACAGAAAGCATTAAACACACAGCGCCTGCACCCAGGGTAACGATAACAGAAAGCATTAAACACACAGCGCCTGCACCCAGGGTAACGATAACAGAAAGCATTAAACACACAGCGCCTGCACCCAGTGTAACGATAACAGAAAGCATTAAACACACAGCGCCTGCACCCAGGGTAACGATAACAGAAAGCATTAAACACACAGCGCCTGCACCCAGGGTAACGATAACAGAAAGCATTAAACACACAGCGCCTGCACCCAGGGTAACGATAACAGAAAGCATTAAACACACAGCGCCTGCACCCAGTGTAACGATAACAGAAAGCATTAAACACACAGCGCCTGCACCCAGGGTAACGATAACAGAAAGCATTAAACACACAGCGCCTGCACCCAGGGTAACGATAACAGAAAGCATTAAACACACAGCGCCTGCACCCAGGGTAACGATAACAGAAAGCATTAAACACACAGCGCCTGCACCCAGGGTAACGATAACAGAAAGCATTAAACACACAGCGCCTGCACCCAGGGTAACGATAACAGAAAGCATTAAACACACAGCGCCTGCACCCAGTGTAACGATAACAGAAAGCATTAAACACACAGCGCCTGCACCCAGGGTAACGATAACAGAAAGCATTAAACACACAGCGCCTGCACCCAGGGTAACGATAACAGAAAGCATTAAACACACAGCGCCTGCACCCAGGGTAACGATAACAGAAAGCATTAAATACACAGCGCCTGCACCCAGGGTAACGATAACAGAAAGCATTAAACACACAGCGCCTGCACCTCGCAGGTAGAGCTGCATTACAATAAATGTATATATAGAAGTAAGGTCGACTTGCCCTTTGTGATTTCCAGTGCAGTTTGGATTAAGATGTTACCTGTTCCAACAGCTGGGAAGGCGACGGTCCTGGCCTGAAGTTTTTCACATTCCTGGAGTACTTGTAGCACGGACTGTTTGATGCGAGAGGGGTCTGTCTGTCCCACCATATGCAGGAGATGTTGACAGGCAAGATTGCCGCTTGTTGTTATAATGTAGCCCTTGTGGGGCTGGGTCCCTGTGAAAATGAAGGGTTAAGGGTCAGATTGTGTGCGCTGTGTTATACGATACAGAAACAAATCAATATTCCCATCTCCTACGCACTGTGAGATCATATGACATGCTATATACTATAGACCAGGGGGAGCCAACCTTCGGCAATCCATCCATACATCTTGCAGAACAAGGGGATAATGTAGTCCACAACTTCTGGAGTGCCAAAGGTTTAACAGGTGTGACCCTGTTAAAGACTGTCACACAGCACAGACGGTCACACAGCACAGGCGGTCACACAGCACAGGCGGTCACACGGCACAGGCGGTCACACGGCACAGGCGGCCACACGGCATACGCTACAGACGGTCACACGGCACACGGTACAGGCTGTCACACGGCACGCTCTACAGATGGTCACATTGTTGAGTTGTGCATTAACGGAACGAGAGTCATGTCAGGTAACAGCATGCGGTCACTTTAAACGCACTAAAGGCCCAGATTTCACATAATTTTTTTTACCTAATTGTGTGCATTCCATTACTACGCTCTGGCCAGCCGCACACAGGATTGCCTTGGATACACCTGGAACATAAACAGAGTGTGAGCTACACAGATATACATCCGCCCCCAGCGTGACATACACAGATATACACCGGCCTCGAGTGTGAGCTCCACAGATATACACCCACCCCCAGCATGAGCTCCACAGATATACACCCGCCCCGAGTGTGAGCTACCCAGATATACACCGGCCCCGAGTGTGAGCTACACAGATATACACCGGCCTCGAGTGTGACCTACACAGACATACACCCGCCCCCCGGTGTGAGATATACAGATATACACCCCGCCCCGAGTGTGAGCTACACAGATATACACCCGCCACGAGTGTGACCTACAGGCAGTTTCTGATGGTGAGGGGCAGTTATTGGGGTTATAGCAGACAGGCAGTTGCAGGGGTGAGGGTTAGTTTCAAGAGTAATATATGCTCTTTTAAGAGCTTGTTCCTGTTTCCCTCTCTTGGAATCTGGAGCCTTGTCGTAGGTCCAGGGTGGGTAGGAGATGGCAAGACCCTAGCCAAGCTGCAGCGGTTCATGGGGTCTGCAGTGGTTGTGGTGTCTGTGGAGCGCTTGGAGCCCTCTGTAAGCGCTAGGAGCATCCTTCAATGGAGGTACCCAGTTGGGGTGCCAGGTGATCCGTTACAGGGGTGAGGGGCAGTTATTGGGGTAATAAGCGAGAGGCAGTTGCTGGAGTGACAGGCAGCTATTGGGGTAATAAGCAAAGGCAGTTTTTGGAGTGAGAGGCAGTTATTGGGGTAATAGGCGAGAGGCAGTTTTTGGAGTGAGGGGCAGTTACTGGGGTAATATACGAGAGGCAGTTGCTGGAATGAGGGTCAGTTATTGGGGTAATAAGCGAGAGGCAGTTGCTGGGGTGAGAAGCAGTTATTGGGGTAATAAGCGAGAGGCTGTTGCTGGGGTGAGAGGCAGTTATTGGGGTAATAAGCAAGAGGCTGTTTTTGGAGTGAGGGGCAGTTATTGGGGTAATATACGAGAGGCAGTTGCTGGAGTGAGGGTCAGTTATTGGGGTAATAAGCAAGAGGCAGTTGCTGGGGTGAGAGGCAGTTATTGGGGTAATAAGCAAGAGGCAGTTGCTGGGGTGAGAGGCAGTTATTGGGGTAATAAGCAAGAGGT